TATTAGCACTTATTACATTTTTAGTAAATTGCTAGTTTGCCTTACATTTTGTGACAGTATTTTATATACAGTTTACTGTACAGTGTTTTTAAAGATTTTTGAAACTCAAGAATGAAATTGTTTTCATTTAATAAATATCTAAAACTCAGAGCTGAAGAAATGGCTCAGCAGTTAAGAGCACTAACTCCTCTTCCTAAGGACATGAGTTCAATTCCCAGCACCCACATGGCAACTCACAACCTTCTTTAACTCCAGTTCCAGGGAATCCAATGACCTCTTCTGACCTCCACAGGTACCAGGCACACATGTGGTTCGTGTGTGTGTGTGTGTGTGTGTGTGTGTGTGTGTGTGCGCGCGCGCGCACACGTGGACATTTTACAAATACACACACACAAACAGGAATAACTTGAATTTAGTCCCTGGAATACACATGACAGAAGAAGAATACTGACTTCCAAAACTAAATAAATGAATGTGAAAGGGGGAGGGGCTTTTAAGAAGAAAAGGTCCCTATCGTTAGTTAGGGTTGGGGAGGGTCCAGAGATAAAGTGCGTGCCTAGCACACAGAAAGCTGACGGTCTGCTCAGATGCTCAGTACTGCAAAAAATAAAAATTACTCTGACTAAAGATTAAATGTATTTTCTGATTCTTTTTGCCAAAAGAGAATAAAAAGTGAGTCTTAAAAAAAAAAAAAAAAAAAAAAAAAAAAAAAAAAGGTGAGTCTTCCGAATCATATTTAAGCTGCTGTTTGGAAAATTCATGATAAATTAGCAAACAAAAACAATTCTGTTCTGCCATAATGAAACCACTAACAGGTTGTAACTAAGTGGTACAGCCCTTGCTAAGCATGAACAAGGCCCTGGTATTCAATGCCTAATAGAAAATCAAAAGCTGGTATAGTGAGGCCCTGAGAAAACCAAAGAACTAAAATTAAATTTTAAAAAGACTTCCACGTTAGATTGTAACATGAATTCCAGAGGAGAAAGAGTAGACTAAGAAATTCCAATTCTTCGGAAAATAAGATTCTTACAATTAAACCATGTCAGAAACTTAGGCAACTTTATTTGATTCACTGAATTATTTTCCAACTATCCTGCTACATTCCAAGTAAATAAAGATAACTCTACAAGAAGAAATGTCCCATATTCCTTTATATATTTCTATTCATACAAAGGCCTAATAAATAAAACTAAAATCCTTCGCTCGGGGTATAGTTCAGTGGCTGAGCATTTGTTTATCATGTATAAGACCTTGGGTTCAATCTTCAGCACCTCAACAGAAAGGAGAAGCAGCCAATTCCAAAAAGAATAAATATTCTAAGCAAAAAGAAAACATCAGCGCTAGCAAGATGGTTCAGGAGGCAAAAGAATTTATCTCCGGAGCCTGAGGGTGATCCTCAGAACCCACCGTGGAAGAAAACCTGTTCCCAAAGCTGTCCTCTGACCTCCACACAAGCACCACAGCACAGGCATGTCTGAACACACACAAATACAATTTAAGCACAAAGAAAAACAAAAAATTAAAGGCACTTCATTTGCTACCCTACAATATTAAACAGAATATTCTTGTCAAGCAAAATTTTATTGAAAGAGCATTAAAATAACTACTTACTGTGTGAATGTACATGTTCATGTGTATACATGAATGTGCAGGTATGTAAACGTGCAAATATGAGCACTTATAGTTGTGTGTTCATGTAGAAGCTAAATCTTGATGTCAGATGCCTTCCAGAATCACTCTCCATCTCTCGTTACACCTGGAACTTGAGGATGCCACAAGACTAGCTGGCCAGCAACTGCTGGGATCCTTCTGTCTCCTTGTGGGCTAGAATTACAGATGCATATCACTGTGCCCAGATGTTACATGGGACATAGGGATCAAACTCAGGTCCTCACACTGGCATTTTACCAACTGAGCCATCTTCTCAGCCATAAAATAATTATTCTTAAAATAAGCATACAACCGTGCCGGGCGGTGGTGGCGCACGCCTTTAATACCAGCACTTGGGAGGCAGAGGCAGGTGGATTTCTGAGTTCGAGGCCAGCCTGGTCTACAGAGTGAGTTCCAGGACAGCCAGGGCTACACAGAGAAATCCTGTCCTGAAAAAAAAACAAAAAAGAAAAACAAAAACAAACAAACAAACAAAAAAAAAACAAAGCATACAACTAAATTCAACACACAAGAACTCTTACAAGACATAATCAAGAAAGAAGTACAAGGGACTGGAGAGACAGCTCAGTGGTTAGGCGCATGGCTGTTGTCTTCTAGTGGTCCTTAGTTCAATTACCAAGAACAATGTCATAGCTTACAACTATGTCTAATGGGATCTGACGCCTTCTTCTGGTATTCGGGCTTACATGTAGACAAAGCATTCATACACACACACACAAACACACAAATAAACCTTTTTTTAAAGTACAATAGCTGATGAAAATAAAATCTAAAATGTAACTTATTCAAAAGCTTCACTAGCTCTGTAGCTACACAAAGCCCACAGTAAGATTTTCATTCTTCCCTATCAAGCTTACACTAAAGACTTTCCTAGTCACAATTTCTTTAGAAGAAAAGGACCTCTTTGGCCATGCACACACACACACACACACACACACACACACACACACCACACACAACACACACACTGCTCTTAATCAACAACTATTTGAAAGTAAAGTAACAAAAGGAATCTGAGACACAGGAACACCTGAGAAGCTTTTATCTTAGACACAAGCTTCTAGGAGAAACCCTAATAATGAACCACGCCCACCAAGCAATCCTAAGCAAATGTTTCTATACTGATAATTCTGGACCCAGCTCAAACAGATCAAACCTTTAAAATGGACCAAAATCCCCAGGCTCAAACAGAAATACAGAAATTTATTTAACTGATAAAAATCCTAATGAACCAGTCTTCTTCACAAATGAAAGACGTCTGACCTCTGGGAGCTAAGAGGAGCGTAATGAATGCACTATTTAATTAGGGGCCCACTGCTAGCTGACTATAATCTATTAATTAGCATTCTCAGTGTCTGTAGCTCACTGTACTGTCTTTAAAATTGCACCCTTTGTTTTTTGGACTGAAGTTACACAATTTTAGAGTTCTGTGGTAATTACAGTGGGTGCAAGAAGAATGTATCTGCCAGCACTGGCGTTTAATTAGGGCATGGGGTGGACCCAGATAAAGCAGTGTTCACCATCTTCAGCACATAATGGTTTCCTTGGCATGAAAAACCTGTGGACTGTTTCTTTCTCAGAAAAATACTAAGTACCCATAATTGTCTTCTCAGAAGATTAAATATTTTGCCTTTGAATGTAACATGGTAACTGGAAAATAATACTGAAATTATTTCTCTCCTGATCCCCATACTCCCTCAAAGTATACACGAAAGAAAATGCTTTATTTCAAAATCAAAAAATATGCCAATAACTTTTTTCCTCAATAAACATTTCCAGGTCACTTGACAGCAAAACTACCTTATTGGTGGCTATGTTTTCAGCAAGACATGTTGGTGATTAGGTAATTCAATAGTGTATTTGGTAACAGCAGATCTGCTTTTACTTTATGTACTGAGTGATCAAGACAGACAGAGAGACAATGAATCTACTCTTGAAAAGACCAGTTTGGGGCTGGTGGTCAGGCCAGCTAACATGAATCTAAGTACTTATGGGAAGCAGAAGAGTTCCAGACCAGCCTATGCTACACAGTGAAATAAGAGAGGAGTGCTGAATTGACTTCAATTGTTTTAAAAAATATAAACTTTTTACTTACTTACTTTGGTATACCAATGAATTCTTTTTTATTGAGGTGACTTATAAAAATATGGGTGAGGGGAGCCAAGCACAGTGGCCCACGCCTTTAATCCTAGCACTCAGGAGGCAGAGGCAGGCAGATCTCTGTGAATTCTAGGCCAATCTGGTCTACAGAGTGAGTTCCAGGACAGCCAGGGTTACTCAAAGAACCCTGTCTCAAAAGCCAAAACATGCAAGCAAGCCAACAAAATATGCTACTCTTATGGGGCTGAAGAGATGCCTCACCAGTTAAGACCACTAGCTGCTCTTCCAGAGGACCCAGGTTCAAATCCCAGCACCCACATGGCAGCTCACAACTGTCTATAACTCCAATTCCAGAGGATCTGACATCCTCAAACAGACATACAAGGAGACAAACATAACACCAATGCAAATAAAATAAAGGATATGATTGAGAGGCAGAGATGACTCAAATGCAATTCTTCGCTTGTTTTTGTTTTTGTTTTATTTTTCAAGAGAGGATTTCTCTGAATAGCCCTGGTTGCCTTAGAACTCTCTAGACCTACCTCTGTCTCCTGAGTGCTGGGATTAAGGGAGTGTGCCGCTACCACCACCACCTCCTGGCTAAAAGCCCACTCCAATACTGGTGATGACAATCTGAAGGCAGCAAGACAGGTCCAAGAATCTCCTAATACAGGCTAGGAAAATGTCCTTCCTTTGAACTATATCTGTAGTCCTGTGTTTGCTTGTTTCTAATTTTGAGACAAAGTCTCAATATGAAACCCCAAGTTATCCCTGAATTCACTACCAAAGCAGTCCTTAAGATTTTTTCTTTTTCTTGGGGGGGGGAGGGGGGGGAACGACTTTTTGCTTTTTTGACCTTTTTTACACAGAGTTTCTCTGTGTAGCCTTGGCTGTTGGCTGTCCTAGAACTTGCTCTATAGACCAGGCTGGCCTCCAAGTCACAGAGATCCAGTGCTGGAATCAAAGGCGTGTACCACTGCTGTCCAGCTTATGTGTTGTTGTTGTTGTTGTTGTTTTTAATTTATGTGTGTGAGTGTTTTGTACCATGTACAGGACTAGGTCTGAAAAAGGCTAAGAAAGTAGAAACAGAATTCTAAAGTAAAAAAGGATAAATAAAAAATAAAGGAACAAAGATGGGGGAAATCTAAGATAGGTTGAAAAAGGAATGCCTCATTTTATTTATATACATAGATTCAGCCCATAAAGATAAATGTATAAATGAAACTAACCTGGTTTTCTTCCTGCACAACTCGGTACTGCTCCTTCCAAATGGTGATTTTAGAAGCTTCATCTTTTCTCAAGGCCCGCTCTTTCTTCAGTTCTGGGCTCCAGAAGGTCTTGATGCTATTCATTGAAGAACTTAATTTGCTCTCCTTTACTTCCACATCTTTCCTCAAAAGATCATTTTCTCGTAATACTTCCTTCAGCTGTGTCTGCAGATCCATGATGGTGTTATCTCTTGCCTGACGAAGAGAGTGAGGTACAGTGGATGCCATACTAACAGGAGGGAGGTGATGTTCTCCAAATGCTATGGTATCACTAGCAACCCCACTGCTTGCTATGTTGGGGCTGCTGCCCATAGCAGTCATCCTAACACCGTAAGGCAGGCGTCCTCCAGAACGGCCAAGCGTCATGGTGCTTTTAGGTGTTTCTGCACCCACATTTTCATGGTCACTTAGGTACATAGGGCCAGATGTAGCATAGGCAGCATTTAAGGACTGTATATTCTCCATTGAAAGGGTTTTTCCACTGCCACCTCCAACACTGTTTCCAGAACTTCCTCCTGTACTATTTGTTCGCCGATGACCTAAGCGAGGGGACCGAGGAAGCCGAGGTGATCGCCCAGGACTCTGGCTGCTTGGTTCCACTTTCCCTACTGATCGAGCACTTCCATACATGGTTGCAGGGTGAACTTAAGTGCCAGAAATAGTATAAAGCAGAAAACAACAATGCAATTCCGTGAGGTTTCTCTATGGCTATAAAGTCAGCTTAAGGCTATCAGAAATAGCAGGTCACCAGTTGTCCAATCTTGAAGAAATATCTTATGCCATATCTGCAATGAAAAGATTACACATTAAATATTCCAATGATAAATACTTTTCTCAGAAGTGTTGTTACCTTTATTTGTAGAAGAGTCTCTTTTCATTAAGTATTCTTATGACTTTAAAATCAGATTACTCATAATGTAATGTTTTCCTAACTAAAAACAAGAGTATCAACTGATAATTACCAAGTAGCACATTATTTGAATAACATAACTCAGAATATTACAGAAATATCAATACTTGGATACACTATCAGAATCAATAAAAGAACTTAATACATTAGTCAGATATAAGCTCAATATATAAATAGTAATACTTTGACACATTATTAAAACTAATAACAGATAAATTTCCATAAGGTCAATATTTGAATATCAATACTTTCATGCACATTGGGAATAACAATTTAAAAATGTAGCTTTTAAGGTTAAGGTTAGGAAGATGGATCAGTATATAAAGTGCTTGCTATGCAAGGATGAGAACACTTGGTCACATCCCCAGAAACGAGGTAGAACTGAAGGCAATAGCATGCATCTGAAATCTCAGTGCTCCTACGGAGAGATGGGAGGCAGAAAAGGGAAAATTCCCAGAAGCTCATGGGCCAGGTAAAGAAGAAAAGACCCCGTTTCAAGCGAGGTGAAGTCCAGGACCAACACCTGAGGCTCACCACTGCCAACACTCAAACACATTATCATACACACACACACACAACACACACACACACACACACACACACACGGGAGGGGGGGTGAGAAGAAATAGCTCTGGGTTCAAATAGCTCCCGGCACTATATTAATGGATGCTGCAGCACACACATGCCAATAATTGCAGCAGAAGAGGTAAAGGTCATCTTCATCTACAGCTGTGTTTCACATACACAAGACCCTAATCAAAAGATAAAAGTTACGTCCTACTAACAGCAACAAACCTATAAAAAGTAACTTAAACCTAACAAAAATGTTCAAGCATTTAAAACTCTACTAGAAGAAATAAAATAATACCTCAATAATAAAAAAATAATTAAGTAAAAAGTTACCCATACTGTGAAGGTGTCAGTTCTTCACTCAGTTCATTAACAAAATCCCAGTAGATTTTCATGTCATTCAAAAATGCTGACGCTAAAGTTCAAATGGAGGACTAAAAGTACAATAGCCAGCTCCAGAGGAGTCAGATACCTCTGCCCTTGGTGGCACTTGCATTCATGTGCATATAACCCATAACACATACACATAATTAAAATAATAAAAATAAATCTTAAATAGGATGTGCTCTTAGCCACTGAGCCATCTCTCCAGCCCTTCCTCCCTTTTTTTAAACTAACTTGGCAGGGAAACTTCTCCTTGATGAAAGGTTACCTAGTGCTTTTATGTGTAACACTGAGCATACATATCATGTATTTCATCAATAAAATAATGTACATGATCATAGGATTCTGTACAATACCCAATAATGTTCTAAGTAAAATTCTGGGAAACAAAGTCACATCAGATCACCATATTCTCATAAAGAACTACAGACTTTATTATAAAGGAAGACATGTGACATGTTTATAATCCTAGCTACAGGGAGTCTGAAGCAGAAGGATCCAGAATTAGAAACCAGCTTGAGCTACATAGTAAGACCACATCTCAAAAAACAAGATGAAATAAAATAAACAAAACAAATAAACCAGACAGAGCTGGTTGTATCTGCTTGTAATACCAAGCCCTGGGGAAGATGAAGCAAGAGGTTTCAGGTTCAAGGCCAACATGAGCTTTTACAAATTCCACATCAAGCTGATGTATCTCCAGAAAAACTATCCCACAAAGATGGAACTGGAAAAAATTATAGGCTCCTGTCTCTGCTCTTGGTTGCCCACCAGAACTTAATGGTAAGATGTGATTTCTGAGGACACTATACACACTGGTCACAGAACACAAATAGTTGGTAAAGACCAGAAAGCTTCCTCTCTGATACCTACTTCTATAGCTATGCAGGCTATTGGGGAGAAAATGAAAGTCATCAACAATATTCCCAAGTTGTGAAGAGCAATAAAGCTGGCATAGATGTTATGGAAGTAACCAATCACTTTCTGATTGGATTTGAGAACTTCCACAGGAAGAAACACATGCTTGGTATTGCAAATCTGGCCAATTGACCCATGGTTGGGGAGCTTATAAGCCCCAGGGGTGAATCTACTGTGATTATTTTGCTAAACAGACATAATACCACACTGCCCTCTAAATGTTATCTCTGCACGTGTAGAAACAATCACTCTTGGTTTCTTTGTGCACTGAATGATGGTTAACACAGAAACTCACTACTGGTGAGAGGAGTGCAGAGAATTAGTGGCTGTGGAGTGCCCAGCCTAAATGGGACATACTATACATCCTGCCCTCCAGGAGGCTCAGGGATCATCAAGGAAAGGGATCCAGAGAAACTGAGGTCAGGAAAACCCAGAGCAAAGAGTATCTTCTCATGAGAGGACCACTAAAGAACTCACAGCAGCTGTGGTTGCCTGTACACGATCAAGCCAGTCAACAGTCTAGCATTGAGTGAAGGAGGTTAAAAGCCTGTACACACCCTTAACTGAAGAGCTATGAACAGCTGATAGCTACTGGGGTAGGGAGAGTCAGTTTTCTTTCAGAGTATGGTCCCCTTTAGGTAACCATATTCTGATGGGTGGTTCAACATCCAGAAGAATATGAACACCACAAACTAGTCAATGGGTAACTGAAGAAAAAAAAAAAAGACACAAGTTGGAAGGATACCAAAATTGGGATGGACTGGCCCTCAAAAATCCATAACCAGAATTTCTTATAAAAAAAAAAAAGCTTTACATATAGACTATGCACATCCACCATTATACTCTCTTTTTTGGACCCACTAATACCTACCTCAGTGTAAGCTATAAATAAATAGTTATGATGCTTAAAGTGGGTCATCTGGACAGTGGTGAATGCCTTTAACTGCAGCACTAGGGAGGCAGAGGCAGTTCGAGGCCAGCCTGGTCTACAGAGCAAGTTCCAGGACAGCCAGGGCTTTACAAAGAAACCCTGTCTTGAAAAACAACGAAACAAACATAAAGTGGTTAAACAAGAACAGTTTGTACATGTTCAATACAGATACATTTTTCTGAATACTTTTTACCATTGATTGGTTTGATCTACATACAGAACCCAGAATACATTATTTCCTACCTTCAATCTGCCTATTCTGGACATTTCATATACAAGGAAAACAATGGTGACCTTTTTGGGTGAAAGGTTAAGGAGAAACAGCACAGGGTGTCAAACTCTTTGCTAAGTTGTTTCATAACACTCCAAATTCTACTTTTCATATTTATTACCTAATCTCGACGAGTTCTCAAAATAGAACAACATCAAAGTCAAGCCTGACCACCGTTATGCCACCACAAAGCTTCTAGATCATAAAACACAAAATGTCAACACTGGCCCCACATCGCAGATATACTTACTCTCTTAGGCATATATCTCTCCTGGCATATATCTAAATGCCCACATATACATCTACACACAGTGATTGCACAGAATTTTTAATTCTCAATCTTTCTACAAAAGCTGATAGCAGACCATGGAACTAGAAAACGCTTTAAGAGTAACATATTATAGTAACCTACCTTAAGTTAATCATAATAGAATAGGCTCACATAAATGTGCTTCAAGACATTTACTAGAAGATGTAAAAGATGTCATTATTACCATCAGCTAGTTAAAGCACTGTCAGTAAAACTCTGGCATAAATCTCAAAGTCACTAGACTAGCCTGCTGGGCTAGGTTATACTCATGTGTAACAATCACTTACTATCTGAAAATGAGTTAAGCATTTTATATTTTAAATTGTTTTTCAAATTTTTTAAAAGAAAATTTTTTTTCTCAAAAAGCTATAACATTTCTAGGGTCAAGAAATATTCATTTTAAACTCTCTGAAAAAAACTTTTAAAAAATCGTACTGAAGTACAATGTAGCAGAATCACAATTTGAAATGAGCTACCATTTGAAAAAGAAGTTTCAATTTTTAATTATTTTTACATAGTAGTGGAGACTGAGCCCAGGGCTTAGCACAAGATAAGAAAGGGTTACCATTGAGCTACATTTCCAACTCAAAAGTTTTTCCTTTTTGCTTGTGTTCTGAGACAGGATCTCACATACCCTCGTCTGGCTTCCAACCTGTCGTGCAGCTGAGGCTAGCCTTAAAGTCCTGATGCTCCTCCTTCCTCTTTCTGAGTGCTAGGAGCACAAGCATGTCTCATCATGACCAACATCTACAAGTTTCCCTTTGTAAACTATTCTACATGGTTCATAAGTTCTAAGGTAGATGTACAATGATGTTCATTACTGCATCATTTGTACCAGCAAGAATGTAAGTTTTCAGCAAGAGATTGGTTTAAGTAAATTATGTTACCTCCAAACTTTAAATATGCTTATCTTTACCTGACATACAAAAACAACCACAGTATATTGCAGTAAAACAGAAAAGCAAGTTGTGAAAGAATACATATAATAGAATTAGTAGTACACAAAATGATACAACACACATATGTTCATATACACACAGGAATGATTCCAACCCTTAGGTCACAAGTAGCCAAGGTTAGCTAAGATAAAAGTCTCATGAAACACTGTAACTTACTTAAAACATTATGAGAAATTTTTGTGATTGTTTGCATGTATGTAATATTTGCATTATGTGGATGCATGTTGTATATGCATATATATGTTAGAGGCCATAGGCTAATGTAAGTTATCATCCTTTGCCGGGTGGTGGTGGTGGTGGTGGTGGTGGTGGTGGTGGTGGTGGTGGTGGTGATGGCGGCGGCGCACGCCTTTAGTCCCAGCACTTGGGAGGCAGAGGCAGGCAGATTTCTGAGTTCGAGGCCAGCCTGGTCTACCGAGTGAGTTCCAGGACAGCCAGGGCTATACAGAGAAACCCTGTCTCGAAAAAAAAAAAAAAAAAAAAAAGTTATCGTCCTTGGTTACTCTCTACCTTACATGTTGGGGAATGGTTT